CTTCCGGCCATAGGTGTAGCAACATAAGCTTCGGGTCCAGAGGAATGTCGCAACCTGTGAGAGTAAGTATTTTAGATTTCACGTCCATCCAAAATTTAAGAATGTGCCTGCATGACCACCATGTGTGATAAAATGTAGCTCTCTCACTACAAAGTTTCCAACACGCTGGTGAAATAGTGCTTGATATATGGGAGAGTCTGACCGGCGTTAAGTACCAGCGCGAGAGTACTTTATAGGTAGTCTCCAAAATTTCAGAGGATTTTGACATACTGTGTTGTGCTCTCCAAATCAGAGACCATTGATCGTCCGAAAGTGAGGTATTAAGATCTGAATGCCATGCCTCTTGATATTTCATTGGCTTACTAGAAAGCTTACCTAATAAGATCTGGTAGATTTTCGAGATCAGACCTCGTTTTTTAGATGGAGCGCACATCAATGTTTCAAAAGCTGTTATTGGGGATTTTACTGCTTAAATAAGCTCTGTATTTTCAATTAGGTGACGCAATTGCAGGTATTCAAACCATTGACCTTATGTTTTTTCTCAATTTCCGCTTTTGTCATCAATGTGTTCTTTGTTACCACATCTACAATTCGAGTGATGTTTGCCTGTCTCCAAGAATGGAAAGAGGAGGGCATACAAGAACACCCGGGTAGGACGTTTCAAGAACTTTTATGGTTACCTCATAAGGCTAGATCAGTCAAAACCTTGTCCAACCCTTATCTTTCACATACCTTGAAGACGTGGCATCAGTCTCGGCATTTATTAACTGCCAAACACTCTCAACTTTACACCTTCACAGGTCGGGACCCTTCCCTACCTGTCCATCCCACTATATATAAACATATTTTTAAAATATTTATATCCAACATTCTCAATTGAGACCTCATCAGGCAACTTATAACAATAAACCAATGCAAGGATAAAGGCAGCAATATAAAATTAACCACTAACACTCAATATAAAAACCTAGTTTCCAAAAACTAGCATAAAAGTCGCAGTACAGCCACAAAGCAATAAATAAATAAAGCCACTCCTCAACCGTCTACAAACAGCTGGAAAAATATAACTGCTTTCACCTACTGCTTAAAGTTCAGAAATGGCAAAAAGCACCCAACTTGCAGGAAGGCTGTTCCAAAGATGAGGTGCTACAACAGAGAAAACTGTGTTTCTTAAATCTGTTGTGCATTAATATTGTTTTGCCTTCAGAATTCTGAGCAACTACTGTACAGAAGAAAAATGAAGTAGCTCTGATTCTATGCCATAGCCAGACTTGCAGGCTTCCTGCTCCTGTCCAAGTGTGCCACAAAAGATACAAATTAAAGCAAGCCTTCAAATTAAACCAAAATTATACAGAACAACCTTGTAAAGTGTAACACCATAAACTGCAAGCCCATCAACCCAACCATTACAATGCAGCCAATGCATACTTCTGAATTTCTCAACACTTGCACATCTAACAGTACCCCATTCATTTCTATATAATGAAAGAAATAATTATTATACTATAGTCTGAAAATCCATAAGAAAAACATTCCAGGTGTATTTAGTTGGCTACTGTAAACTATGATTGCAATATGCTTATAAGCAGATCTTCCCCACTTTCCCTTTCTTCTAACACCACCACCACAAAAGTTGATGCTGGGGATCAGGTGAACCTTGTGGGCATAATATCATACAGCAGGGGAGCTACAATCAGGAGGAAGAATTGAGCAAGACTGCTCCACTCACTCTTGTGGGAATGCAAACCTTGTTCCACCAAGCTTCTTACAGTGGCAGAGAGGGGGTGGGTGGGCATCTAGTCATTTTAAAATGAATGTAAGAGGCTATTTAACTATGTTTTCTACACTACTCAGAGAGACTGAAGATAACTACTCAATTGCTCATAACCAGGGGTACAATAACTCTATTAGTATTTTAACAGGCAGCACAACTCACAATTTTAAAATGCTCTTGGACAGCACAAAGAACTGAAAGGAAACAGTTTTAATGTGGTTCTTTAGTGACTGAATGAATCACTAGACCAGTTTAAGACTATTTACTTCAGTCATCAGACTACACAACTAAAACTATAACATAATGAGATAAGCTGCAACACTGAACTGTAACCCAGAATGTCAGTGCAAATTTTATATAATTTATGTAAATAAAATACATGCTAATTACAGATTTCTTTCCAAGTGCATACTATACTGCTACAAAAAATTAATTTTATACTATTTTAAAACAGTCTGTAGGATAGGAAATAAAAAACTGCATAAAAAGGAGTTGCTTCTTAGTATGATGAGACTAGAACTACAAGTGTCTTCTGGAAACTCTCAAAACACCAAGCTATTAAGCTTCATTTTCACAGTTTAAAAGCTGTAGTATTTATGTTACACTACAAAGGATCTATGTACATATCTATACATTTACATTTGATTTTTTAAAATTAAATCTTCTTTAGACAACTATGCCTCTCTTCTTCATGTTACCTCCCACTAGAATAAGGATTTGATTCTACAATCTGAAGTGTGAATTACACTTACAAATTGAAAATGAAAACTGATTTTGATATAAAAGCCAATAATAATAAGGTTATATATACAATCTTCTGCAAGGTATTAAGGCCATTAAAAGTTGTTGAGTCCAAATGAAACCTGGGCAAACAACTCACATTTAAATAGGACTTTTTACAAGTCTAAGTAAACACTACTGATGAAACCCTGGCAAAGATCCTGACTGACTTCAGTAGGGTGGAATTTCACACCAGGTCCCTAGGTAAGCAGATCTCAAGCTTACCTAAGCACTCATTCTGGAATTATACAAAGAAGATTATGATCACTCATTATTTACAACATTCTAGGAGGCTAGCCAGAATCCCATATAACATTTTCTGCATTTTTGTTACTGTTTTGCTGGCTATCTTCAGCTCAGTACTAGTAGAAAGAGACTGGAGAATGAGGCTTAACAAAGCAATAAGGCTCAACAGCACTGCAGTAAATTCCATACAAGTGTAGACCTTATGAATTAATTTTAATTAAGTACATACCGATTTAAAAGTGGAAGATTCAGGCTAGAATTCTAAAACTACTTACCTGAAACATCTATTAAAATCAGTAATGCTTGCTTCCAAGTAAATGTGTTTTGGAACTATTGAGTAGTAAACATTCCAACAAGTCAGTTTTAATTTCAAAAGAATTACAAGTCAATCATTACCTCTTTCCCACGAGGATACCTATTACAGTAGTACACTGACAATGCGATCAGACTTCCAATTATAAGTTACACCAACAGCTTTCTTGCCAAATGAATCTCAATGTAGACAATGTACATCACTTGTTTCCAACCAGACCACACTACCACAAGTGTGATGTATAGGGCCTTATAAGCCAAAAGGTTTTACTTTTAATGTGGTAGCCTGACTTATTTTTCCTATAAGGTAAGTATTTAAATAACTGTAAATAAGTTAGACAATACATTCCTTGGAACAAGGAACTGCTATGCATACACATGCAGGTAAAGAATTATGTACATTGGTGGCACTGTATAAACAACAACAATGTGGTAATCATAGTGTAATGTACTTTCCCAAACGTTAGCAGGCTTCCCCTGTATTCCAAAAGACTAGTTATGTTTACACAAAACATTTACAAATTTTGCCACATACTGGCAAAATTAAATGAAGTTTTCCTCTAAATTATCTCTATGGATTCCTCCTTGGAAGAGTATCAAAATAAAGCTTATGAGTTTCCCTCACAACTACAATTCACATTCACTGTCACAAATCAACAGAAATGCAAAGTGGATATCAATTCAAATTTTAAAATAAAAATGTCATCCTACTATATGATTATTTTCATCTTCTTTTATATTAGAATACATAAAATATGAGATAAAGCACATTGTTAGAAAATGTTTACTGCCATGAAATGACTTTCGATTTCTAACAAATAAATAAAACAAGGTTAAAAGTTTAGTTTCCCTTCTTTTGTAAAACCTGTCAGTGACAACAGTATAAATGGACGTTAAAGTTGTTAGAGGTCAAACAAGTAATTCATCTATACTGACAATATTGTGCTATTAATTATCATATGGCATTGTGTGTAGAATAGCCAAGAATCCTAGGACTGTCTGGCAGCCGAAAGTTTAAGATCTTAGCATTGTGCTAGTGGCAAGCTAGGCTTGTATTTAGGGGCTCAGAGAGCTCTGAAAGATACTATGAAGCCATCCTACAATGCATTAAAGTGGTGTACTGACTTAATACGGAACTTTAAATTAAACGTCACTAAGAGAGGAGTGTAATTAAAGAAACAGGTCTTTGAAAACGTGCTGGGTTATTAGAAGGATAGTACACCAGAATTTCCACATGAACAGCACACCTGCACAATGGTACATTTTTCAACCATCCTGCACTTCTTAAAATTAAACACACAACAACATTTTAGCCATGAGACACTCCTTATTACGCCACGAGACGCTCCGTTCAACACTCTGGACAAAACTCTGTACCGTCTCATGTTCCCTTGAAGACACCCGGCCTCCTGCACCCACCAGAGAAATATAAATCGGCAGATAACATATGTGCGTCATGCATAACCTGAGGCGGCTCTTGCCCGAGCCCACTGACTGATAGCGGTAGCGGGGACTGTGGCCTTTAAAGGCTCTTAAGACTTCGGGGAGCCATCAGGAGTCACTTCCACGGTAAGTACTGAGGATCGGGACTCAGATCACTTTAGCCCCAGGGCTGGAAAAGGGGAGGGGGGGAATGCTTGGGTCAGATTAAGCCGGCCTGGGTGTTGCAGCTGCAGAATGACACCCTTCAAGCCTCCTTGCCCGATGTTGTGTCTAGAAAGAACCCCAAGACGTGACGTCCTCCGCCTCAGGGAGCCCCTGAAAAGCCTGCGGCCTCCTCACGCCTCCCCCCCCCTCGAGTGGAGAAAGGAGGGGAAGCAGGAAGCCGGCTTCGAGGCGCGTGTCTTCTCCCTCAACCCGACAGTCCCTCCCTCCGCTCTACACTCACACTCGGGGCAGCTGCAGCGGTGGCGCCCCCCGTCGCTGGAACACCCCGTCCACGAAGACGCCGTTCTTCCCGAGGCAGCGTAAATAAAAGTCGCCGCCGCCGCTAAATGAAGAAGTAGCAGCAGCGGCGACGTCAAGCTGGGACTGGGCCCCGGTCCCGTCGCCGGTGGTGGCTGAGGCGGAGTCGGCACTGTTGTTGGAGGCGGCAGCGGCGGCGGCCGGCGCCTGGGAGGGCGGGGCAGTGAAAATCTCCAGGTGCCGGCGGGAAATGAAGCTGGAGTGACCCATGCTCACATCCACCGAGCCCTGGGAGGAGTTGCGGCCGATGGTCACCGAGCGCTTCTTCATGAGGTATTCGAACTCACGGCCCTCTAGCCGGGCCACGGCCGCCGCTGCCGTCCCCGCCGCCATCTTGGGCGAGACAGCGCACGGGACCGACGGCCCTCAGCCCCTCCGCGCGCGCGCGCGCGCCCCCACCTCCCCACCCCGCCCGCCGGCCCGGCCCCAGACACCGACAGACACAGCAGCCGAGCGCGCTGTACAACCCACAGTCACGCAGCCCTCACGTCCGCTAGACGGGCAGCTGACTCGGCCAATAGACGCGCAGCACGCCGGTGGAATTATTCCGCACCCACCAACCACAACCAGGGCCCGGAACAGCGCAGGGCAACAAGATAGATTGTACCGCACAAGAGCAATACAGGCAGCCGGGCAGCGGTAGGACGTGGGCTGGAATTTCTTAATAAGGTGGAACGGGGTCTGGAGAATCTGCTGCTGACAGCCCTGGATCCACCGCTCTTTTCTCGTTGTGCCTAATGGGACTTGTTTCAGGAACTGCCTTCTAAAGATGTTACATTCTTTACAGGCGATTAGGACAACCCTGTGCATACTCCCAAATACATATAACGCAATGACGAGGGCAACTTATTTTTCATTCACACTACATACACAAACAAGTAGGTAACTCTTCCTCTCTGGTCTTTAAGGGGCACTTTCTCAGCTGTCTTTAAACGGTAGTAGTACTGTGCATCAATGCGAACAGTCAGTTTTATGTACATCAGACTAAAGTGACACACGTGGTCATGTTTCCCAGAGTTTAACATGAGTGTGTGCAACCATACTATACTTTATGTGTAAAGAGGTCACTGCTGAGGGTCATCTTCATTCTGGAATACTGTGGAAACTAGTAGAAAGAATTAGAATTAATGTGTCTCATCCTACAAACCCTGTCCTCTGTGGACAAGGCTATTGACAATCAGTTTCTAACCTACTTGACCAGTTCTGCATCATTACACAGAGTGTACAAAGAGCTTGCTTAGGATCAGAGTCCAATACTTCAAATCTATTATTTAGTTCAAAATATGGCCTGGATAAAGTTTAGACAATTAAAAAAAAGGAATAGTAATCAGAAAAAATATATACAGATAATGTGTGCAAGTCTACAATACCATTAAGTGCTTCATTCCAAAACTAAACAAAGAAAAATTATTTGCCAATAAATATTTACATGCTTCTTTTCATGTTCCAGTAAGTCATCTGTTCATTTTATTATGTTTGCAATATCTCACATTCTACTATAAATTCCAGTAATCCTGGATTTCATTTCTCATCTAATAATATGCAGCAATGGCCCCAATCTAGTGGTAATCATATAAGCTACTATAGTTACAATTACTCTTGGAATTTTCAGATGTGCATCCACATCCACATTTCCACCAAAAGATTGTTTCCAATCAGTTCAACAGGACTTGGGGATGAGGATGCATATCAGCAAGACACAAACACACAGAGACAAATCTGCTCATGTGCACAGACCTTTCTTGCTAAAAAGGGGCAAATAAATAGCTCAATAACAAAACAACAGCATAAAATTCAATTACAATGATTCCAATTTCAGCAACTGATCTACAGCTACTTCCCCAATGTGTTATTTTGGACCATCAAATATAACATACCAGTTGTGGCTTCTTGCATCATATTTCCAACTCTCTCCATTCAATTGTATATTTTTACCTGTGTGTTGCTTCAGTGTGCACAATTCTATCAAGCTTTTAGCTGAAATTCTATTAATTTGTGTTTGCGTTTAAAATATTTATGTGCTTGCCTTTCTCCCAGGCAACTGGGACCCAAGGCAGGTAACAAAAACCTAAAATATTCAAATAATTAATAACCATTAAAACAAATAAACAGCCAGCAAAAACTACAAATGTTAATGTTTATTGAACAGACCACTGCTCAAGAAATCCATATGACAAATAGATGTGTAAAGCATCTCCAGTGTCAAGGGGTCCTTCACAACAGCCTTCATAAAAACTGCAGTTGTGCGCCCCTAAGAAGATGGCATCGGGGCAGAAACCCTCCAGAGTTTCTCCAGAAGGCAATTTCAAAGTGCTGGGGTAAGCACATTAACAGGCTGCAACAAAATGCACCCTTGGCAGGGGCGGGGAGACAATCAACAAGTGCTGAGCAGAGTTACCACACTGGCTCATACTTAGAGAAGAGGCCCTTGACATATGCGAGCCCCTGTGCACAGCTACTGAGGCAGGAACATTAGTACTAGGGGTGTATATTTAGCTGTATCTAAGCTGAAAAAATACCCCAAAAATACCTTGCCTGTATTTTTCGGATATTTTTAAGCCAAATACAGATCAGAGAATCTGAAAAAGCTACCGATATAACTGATCCCGAATAAAGCCCAATTTTTTTCAGCTTTTTTTGGTATATTCAGCTATACCGAATAGCTGCTGGTGGAGAGGTTTAAAGGGCTACAAAGTTAACTTTGAGTTTTCTCCTCTAGGGCTCTTTCTCACCTTTTGCTCTGGTTTCCAGGGCAACAGGGGGAAGAGGCATCTCTGCAGCCCAATGACAAAAGCACCTTAGGGGTAATAGTGTGTTAGAGCCAATCATTGCAATGTTTTTGCAAATGGCATTGCATTGCAGGTTTGCAACTTGCAAAGCTGTTGGCTTCAAATATGAAGTCCAACTAAGTTAACTATCTTGCTTTCCCCACCCATTTCTGAGGGAACAGGATGCAGGAAGAAAGAAGCAGTGGCAATTTGGCAAATATGATTTCAGGTTAGGGGGAACACTGCTCTTTAGCCAATCAGAGAAGTTTGTTCTTTTTTGATTTTCTTTTGTGCATGGGCAAAGAGCATAACAGCAAGTCTGGCTAAGCTAGACTCCATTACTTAGGTGCTGCTAAATAGGCTTTTAGTAATAAGGGTCTGTTTTAGGAATTGTTTAACTTTTAAACACTTTTAATTGAATTTCAGCATAAGGTTTTAGTTCCTCCCTAACTAGGCCAATGCTAGGAGGATATTAAAAGAGGCAAGATTGTATGTGTCTTCAAAACAGTGGTATAATAGCCTAGATTAACTTTTTAAAAAGCAGTGTGCGGCGCTCTGAACTTCAGTGAAGGCTAGTGCTTTTAGACAAATTTCTCTTTAGATTGTCCTGTAGTTTTTCGATTTTCAGGAGGGAGCTCCTGTATTTTCATAAAGGAAATCAGGCTTGTTCCAAAAGAATCTAGACAGGAGAAGTTTAATAAAGAGCTTTAAACATTTTAAAAGGTTTGCTATTTCATCTCAAGGATAGTTTATTAAACCATAGTCAGGTTTCAGTAAAGGAAGTCATGAGTTCTAAAAAACGTAAAAGAAACAAGGTAAAGGTTCCCTTGCTCAAAAGCCAGTCGAATCTGACTCTAGGGTTGTGGTGCTCATCTCCGTTTCAAAGCCAAAGAGCCAGCGCTGTCCGAAGACGTTTCCGTGGTCATGTGGTCGGCATAACTAAACACCAAGGCGCACGGAATGCTGTTACCTTCCCACTGAAGTGGTACCTATTTATCTACTTGCAATTTCTTGCTTTCGAACTGCTAGGTTGGCAGGAGCTGGAACTAGCGACGGGAGCTCACTCCCTCATGCGCCAACTCGGGTCTCGAACTGCTGAACTACCAACCTTCCACAGCCCGCAGTTCAGTGTCTTAACCACCTGAGCCACAACAAACAACCCAATAAAAGGGGGGGGGGCTGAAGCAAGGGTATATTAGGTTCTTTTGAAAGACAAAATCCTAGTTTTGGGGTTGGAGGGTTCATTAAAAGGTTAGATTATTTTAGATTCAGATTGTAGCGCAGGTAGTTAGGTGCATAATACCTTTCCCACAAGTTCTACTTAGAAAGAGTTTGGCCCGGGGTAACAATGAGCAACAGGAAGGTACCCTGGGGGCAAGGCTAAGGAGAAGAGTAGTGGAAAGGAGGGGAGGGGGAGAACTGTGGCTTTCCCTCCACCTGTGTGGAGGACTACTCCACAGCCGCCTTCCACCACTCCATCCTCTGGCCAGAGTGGTACAATGAGGAGGCCACACAAATCCCTCTTAATTGAGTCTGCTGCTGGGGTGCCCCCTGCAGAAGTGTCTGCAGGTGCAGACACTGGACAGGGATCCACTGCTCAGGCAGCCCCAGCTGTTGTGGCTGAGTCTCAGCAGCAGGAAGAGAAGCTGCTTGAGCTACCTTTTGGAGTGAGCTTTGGGATTGAGAGTGCTCAGCTCTGGAGCTCACCCCAAGGGACCCAGAGGCTTCTGGAGGAGCTACAGGGGAGGCTCGATGCCCCTGCTCAGCTTCCTCCAAAGTCCAGCAGGCCTTCTGAGGAGGAACAGGAGGGGAGGCTGGAGGCACAAGAGGAAGAGATAGAGGTGCACCCCAAGGTGTTGCCATCTCAACCCCTTCCCCCTCAGGCATCTCTTCCTGTCCCCCCAAGACATGGTGTGTCTGCCCCAAGCTCCTCACAGGAGAAAGCTCCAGGGGTGCCTGCAGCTGCTTGCCAGCATGGTGCCCCTACACCTCCAAAGTGTGGAAGCACTTCCAGCTGACAGACGATCCCTGCTTCGCACAGTACCAGCTGTGTAGGGCTCGTATCAGTCGAGGGAGAGACCTCAGTCATCTCTCAGCTACGAATTGTGGCACCATCTGAAGAAGCACCATCAGCCAGTGCTTCCTTGGAGCGAGAGAGAGGCTACTGCTGGGGTGCCCAAGTTGTCACCACCAGCCATCCAGGAGGTGAGACATCCTGTGATCACCTCCAGTGCTGTTCCTGAACATTCTGCAGTAGTGAAGGGACGCCAAGCATCTCTAACAAAGATGCTTGGTAAGATTGGCACGAGGGTGTCCGGTTGGGGGAGAGTAGCAGGAAAGTAAGAGGGTCACTCACCTCATTGCCTAAATAGCTGCTGTAGATGGCCACCCTTTCTCCATGGACGAAGACTCTGCTTTCCGCAAGCTGCTCTAGGATGGCTTTCACGGGTACACACACCCTGCTTGCACGAAGCTGAGGGCCATGTTCCCCTCGTCGTACAGGGCTGCCAGAGACCATGTGAAGGCACAGTGGTCCTGCACTCATGGGAGAACTGTGCACTTCATGTCCAACGTCTAGACCTCCCCTCAGGTGCACAATGTGTATCTGTTGCTGACTGCATACTGGTGGCA